GTTCTTGACATTTAAAATCAAAGAAAGCTTAGAAAGAACTCCCGTGTGCTGGGAGTATTGGAAACGCATTAATTCAAAATTACTTGTACTTGAGATTTTGATGGTAAAGCTGGAAACTACATGTACATTGTAATTATGCAACAGATTTGAGTGTAAAACTAATAAGGTCTGCCGAAAAAGCCGAAAATTGATTAATTATTATGCAAATTAGGTAATTAATACGCATGAATTTTTACCCAAAACTAATCAATTCTGCGCATAAGTTCAGAGCATATATGTACCAAGTTTCATCAAAATCCAATGAGTGGTTCTTTAGATATCAGTGGAACAGTCATGGAACACCTGAAAATTAGGCAATTATTATGTATGAATTTTTACCAAAACCTAATCAAATCTAGGCATTGGCCCAGAGCATCTATGTACCAAGTTTCATCAAAATCCAATGAGTGGTTCTTTAGATATCAGTGGAACAGTCATGGAACACCTGAAAATTAGGCAATTATTATGTATGAATTTTTACCAAAACCTAATCAAATCTAGGCATTGGCCCAGAGCATCTATGCACCAAGTTTCATCAAAATCCAATGAGTGGTTCTTTAGATATCAGTGGAACAGTCATAGAATATCTAAAAATCAGCTAATTATCATGCAAATTAGGTAATTAACGAGCATGGATTTTTACCAAAACCTAATAAAATCTGTGCATTGGCCCAGAGCATCTATGCATCAAGTTTCATCAAAAACCGATGTATGGTTCTTGAGATATCAGTAGAAAAGACAGACACGCATATATATAAACTAACTGCAAAGACTTCCATTGTGCTTCGCACACGGGAGTCAAAAATACATCATTAAACACAAATTCAGTCAAGACTTGTGAATACCAAATATTTATCTTTCCCAATTTGGCTAAAAGCAACAGACCATAATTCACTAGTGGCAAAGTTTCAAGACTAAATCTGTGATTACGACAAATAGGCCAAAGGCCACAATAGAAAAATATTGAAGTTGCAAATTTCTAATTGCCAAATTTGTCTTCTTATCCATTAGAACACAAAACCAAACTCAATCACAAGACTTAATCATGCAGCGATAAATATTTAATCTACCAACCGTAAATCTTTTGGTGCATGTCAACCCAAAAGTGTAACGAGAACAGGTCATGAATGCAGGCATCAATATGGTGCAAGTAAATGTGTTCTTTATTTGCCTCCAGCATGTACCAGTATGACACATTTGTACCTGAACAAACAGAACCACTGGTACAAGGTAAAATGAAATAACCATACAAAAATAATTCATTTATGTTATATGAATTGAACAGAAAAAATAATACAATTTTGTTGGTGTATATTTTAATATCATATTTATTATAAGTACAATGATTTGAATTTTTTGGGAGCATACGAATAAGTGTTATTCACACTGCTACTTTGAATAATATAACAAACTGATGTGCACCAGTAACAAAAAATGTTCAATATATTTTGTATGCATGTTGACAATTGAATATATCATATGAAATGAAACAAATCAGAGGCAGGTCCAAGTATATAATAACTATTGAACTTTAGTAAAAGAGGAATGAAACGTTTAAAAAATTACAATTATAAAATAACTTTAGAGATGGCCAAAAATGATCTTTTGGTGGTGGAGTTGTTGGTAATAACCAGGAATTAAATTTAATAATTGCATTATGAAAAATTTGAGTTCACTATAAAATTGGAGAAATGCAAATTTCTCATTTTCCAAAATATATCAAAGGAGTAAATATTTCATTGATAACAAAAGTATGATACAATTTGGATACAACATTGATACCCATTTTTCAATATAAAGAAGAAAATATAAAGAGAATTGGTTTTAAAAAACACTAATCCATTTACATGTGTCTGTACATAATATACAATGTACATCTTCATAAAAACATAAATTTTGAACAAAAAATAAATCCTGTCTGTAAAAATGAAATTCGTAAATAATGTCAATCTAAAGCAGATAAAGGTGAAGTGAAAAAATTATTTGCATAGTATTTCTGCTTTTCAAATTTTCATGGAACAAATAGCTCCACTGAATAACAGTTTTCATGGAGTGGGAAATTTTTTATCAATAACGCAATAAAGAAGAAAAAATGAAATACATAATAAAGTATTATCATAATGTTATTTAAACAAGCAGCCTCTCGGCTGAGATAGGTCCGCTGTTAGCAATGCACATTTCAATTAAAGAACTGAAGATATCATTAGAAAATGAACAATATGCATAGTATCAATGCAATGGGACTTGCTGTTTTCAACAAGAATTCAAAAATATCATTTTTTCACCATAAATGATTGTGATTTTTAACAAGAAGTTGAAAATATCACTTTTTACCAAAAATGACAAAAATATTCATCGAAATTAGAAAATTCAAGATATCATTATGAAAGGAACGAATTTGAGAGTGGTCCACATGTAGTACCTATATATGTAATATCAAAGCAATTGGACTTGTGGTTTTTAACAAGAAGTCGAAAATATCACTTTTTAGCAAAAATGACAAAAATATTCACTAAAACTAGAGAATTGAAGATATGATCATGAAATGAACAAATCTGAGAGAGGTCTACCCAAGGTACATATACACCAAGTATCAAAGCATTCAGGCTTGTAGTTTTCAAGAAGAAGTCGAAAAAGTAAAACATTGACACGAACGACGGACAATCACTCACTCACTCGTCAAAGTCGACAGCGGAGCTAAAAATGTAAATTTAAATGTCAATCCAAAGCAAAGCAGACAAAATTCCAAACAAATCTGAATAGCGGTTTTCATAAAGTAGAAAATTGAAAATTACAAATTAAGTTGCTATAGCTATGCCTTTAAAATGTGAAATACATCTGATCCATAGTTTTATAATACTACAAGAAAAAAAAAATCACAGTCAAAGTATACATGTACCTGACTACAACTATGCTAACCTGACAAAGATGCTATAATTGGTAAATGTTAATGCTTGTTTGACTGATGTCTGTTTAGGTCCTTTTTTCTTTTGTAAGATCTCCCACATATTTCACAGGAGACCTTTTTCACAATGTCGTGAACAACTTTACTATGATGTGTTAATGCATCTTTTGTTTTGAACTTTTTTGAACATTTATCACATGGAACAAGTAACGTCTCTTTAGAGTGAAGTGTCCGCATATGTCTACTCAAGTTTTTTTTGTGTTTCAATTCCGCCTGACATATTTCGCATTTGGCTCCCACAGAATCCCTGTGACATTTAACGTGAGCCTCAAGCATTAGTTTAGAAGAAAGCATTTTACCACATTGCTCACATTTGTGAGGCATGACAATTTTTCCTTGTTTTGAAGTGCCAGCATGTTGACTTGAACTAATTCTTGTTTGACAACTCTGTTTCTGTTGAGAGTTGAATGGGGTAGCCGAGGATCCCACATAGTTAATAGTTGCAGCAGGCTCCTGTAGATACAGATGGGATACACAAGATTACTAAATGTGAAAAAATATTAAGTGCACAGACAATTAATACTCTCCTGCCAACTTTCCAAAAATCCTGAGGGTGTTATTTAAAACAAGTAATTGCATTATATAGTCCCGGCCTTGTGAAGTTATGTGAATATATAAAGTTTGAACCTAATCAGTCAAGTCATGTCTATAGCTATGAAACTGCATTTGATAAAAACAAGTCATTATTAATGACACATTCCCTGTCCAAAATGTTGTGATCTGACATATCAATTTGATGCTGATGAAGTCATTGAGATTGGATTGAAACCATTAATAGGAGATGGATTTGTAAAAAATTATGATTTAGTGCTTTTACACGAGAATTGGACATTGGGCAGTCATATTGAATCAAATTACAAAAATAATGTTCATGTTGATGTATCTATTGGTATACTGTCTTTGTGTAAAATTTAAAGAGAAACATTCATTGCATTCACGAGAAAGTAGCATGGGTGCCATGAAAAACAAAATGGCCGCCAGTCGGCCATATTGTGTTCAAATCACAAAAGAAAATGACGTGCACCTACAACCCAATATGTATGATCATCATACCAACTTTGATCCAAATCGGTCCAGTCATCTCCGAGAAACTGCTGTGGACACTTTTAGGTATCAGAAATAGCAAATTACATCCAAAATGGCGGCCAGTCGGCCATTTTTCTCCGGTCATAAAGTAACTTGACTCACATATGTAAGACATTATGTATTCTCTTCATGTAAAGTTCGAATAAAATCCGTCAATGGGTGTCCGAGATATAGCTCTGGACGTACGTCCGGACGGAACAAACCCAAATTAATAGTCCCCGTTTTCGGACTTCGTCCGAACGAGGACTAAAAAAGGCCATCAGTTGAATCCTACCTGGGAAAAAATGACAAGGGCCCCATAATGATATTTAATTTGTCGCAAAATTTAGTATGAAAGAAAACAAGCCTTAAAATAATTTTTCTGACTATTTTTACATATGAGTAATACCGGTACATGAAATTCATCACCAATAGTCTGTTCATTACATAGAGAACAAAACCTTTGCTCTGGAGGTATGTTATTATATCCATGTTTTTCAATTGGCAATGAGTGAGAAGAAGTGCAAAACTTAGTGAAGCATTTTTGATTGGTTCCAATAAAACCAATAAATCTGTATATCTATGACATGATGTCCGGCATAATGAATATATCAAATTTGAACACAAACAGTCAAAGCATGACAGAGACATGGCACTACAACTGCATTCATTAAAATTAAAAACAAAATGGCTGCCAGTCAGCCATTTTGATTTATCAGCACAAAAATGGTTGCCATCTTGAATCCGATCATGAAATAATTTGATGTTCATATGTATAATATTAAGTATGATGTATGTGTGAAGTTTGATGAGTGTAATTGGTCCAGGCATGTCTAAGATATAGCTCTGAAG